TCAAAAAAAATCAGTTGGTTTAAATTTTTTATGTAAAAAAGAACATGAATCTGATTAAATCAAAATGGTTTCCAGTAGCGCAGTGGTTCGCACCAAATATATATTTTTGGCCAAATTATGTCCTAGCTGAGATTTGAACTGCGGCCAGCTGATTACTGACCAACGGACAAACCATCAGGTTAGATCAGCACTTCTGTTAGCAGTGTACTACACTCTTATTTATGTAGATGTTTACATTCAATTTATTTCGAATCAAAAAAATGATGATTTGTCCAAAACAATTTTTGAAATTTTCGAAATTTCGTACATTTCGAGGGTGAGCGAAATTTTTGCCACTTCTAAATCTTATACTATGGGCGTCACTATCCTTCCCAAAGCCATGAATGCAGTGCAGTAGAGAGTAATGCACATTGGAGTGTCGTATTAGGTCACCAACTGCTTTAGCCATGACTCATTCTACTTATATTGATTTAGTTTTGCATTGTTAGTTTAGCGGGACACTCTCAAGTTTGGGTTGATACAAAGAATAGGAACAAGTGTGACTAAGAATAACCGGAATAACAATTGGTTGCGAAGGTGAAGATCTATGAGGCCTACTTCCTGCCTCGATGACCACTCACGAATGCATGTGAGTCTATGAGTGACTTCATCAATGCCCCAATTGCAGAGTAGAATAAACCGAAACTGAAAGAATGGTTTCTGCCAGTGGACATTGATATTTTATAGAAAAAGTTCCTTCGACTTCGCCGTACCAAGGGGACTGCCCGGCATGGCACCCCGAGAAGACACATGTTTTTCTTGTAGCGTCTAGTCGTCACGACTAAAAGAACAATGAAGGATTGGCTGAAGGGCCAATCCGCGACGTCGCATTCCTGGCGTGACAAGAAGCAGTTGGCATATTTGTGGCACACGCAGTTCCCACAAAAAAATTATGTTTTCTTATGACAGCTCGCGAAGCAGTCTTTCCCATCGGGAGACATTCTCTATCACATGAACATGTCGACTTCGAGTCTATGCAGGATATGTGGTGAATAAGATTCATGGAGACAATCATTGGAGTGCACAACGGCAATGTGTGTATGGGCTCTCACGGTCGAAGAAACAACATGTATAGTTCCTAGTTCATAGAGAATGTGCTAGGTTGCGGTTATTCCAAATCATTGAAATTTTACATTTAAAACAGGTGACAAAGGCAGTTCTAACCATGTGGGCTATTTGTGGCTCTTGTCGGAAATCTTTGCATGAAAAAACTTCCCAGAGTCTTGTGACAACCCATTGCTTTATTAAAGAATTTTTGACTGGCCTTGCTATGTCTCGTCCAAGGAGGAATACAATCCCAACTCACATCATTGGTGCGGTGCCACATTGGATCCTGCCATCGGTTGGAGTTGTGAAGATAAATGTCTATGCTGACATAAGTAAGAACATTGACAGATGTGTGATAGTTGCAATAGCTCGAGACGAGAAATGCCAGTTGATTAGAGCATCAACTATTGCTTTATCTGGACATGATGATCAAGAGTTACCGGAGGCCCTAACATGCAGAGAAGCTATTGTGTTGGCTCATGACTCGTCAATTCATAGGGGGTGGCCAACGACCGCTGGAGAGTAATTAACATGTTGCATGAGTCACTTAAGCCAACCTACGTAGCATTCACTGTGGAGATCAAAGAAGGAAGCAAGGAGTTCAACGAAACGTTGTTCCGTTTTGAATGACGATCATCAAATATGAAGGCTAGTAGACTTGTCTGTAACTCTTTACATGCGGCGTTAGGACATCATGTGTAGCTTGTAAATCCGCTATAAGGCCTACCATTTCCCATCTTGGATGAACTACGATTAATAGAGGATTTGTGGTTCTCTAAAGAAAAAACTGAAACTAGAATTGACTCTCAAATAATAAAAAAACTGAAACAGAGTTCGAATAAGAACACCCTTTTTTCATATCCATTCAAAAAACTTTCTTTTTCATGAATACGCAAAGATTGTGTATCATTGCATTGATGGGAGAGGTGAAAAAGTACAATTGTCGGTGACAATAGCCACACATGCACAAGCCGGCGTAGGCTCAAAGAACCGGAGCAGTTAGAGGAGAGGACTGCTCGTCCCTATTACATCACACAAAATCTATATCTCAGGGAGCATGATCGCCAAGCAGTTGGCACTCGCGCTAGACTAGAGGCGCGTGTCTTCTTGAACAAAAAACTTGGAACACACTTTTGACGTTTTGTATTCCTTGTTAACAAAAGATAAATTTTTTGTACAACTAATAGCTTTCTCCGAGTTAAGGCACATGAAGCACTACTTCTATAATAAAAGAGTTACAAGGTATATACATAGAGGAATTGAATGAAGAAACTTAGATAGTTGTAGTTTTTTTTCTTTTCGGGAAATTGTAGTTAGGCCGTGCATGTTGGTGCCATGTTGCCGGCATGGATACAACAATGCATGATGTCCCTTTCGTCTTGCAACAACCCTCTATAGCCCTCTTCTGAGGAGCATGG